GGCGCTGCCGGTGTGGCCGGTCACTGCGGGCGGGTCAGCCTCCTCCTCCCGAGAACCCCACCACGACCAGGCTCCGCCCCTCAACGGCTTCCTCTCCGAGGTCGTCGGTGTCGGAAGGGCTAATCCCAAACCTGTCGCCCCCACGTCTTACTTAATAAGACTGAACAGAGTGACGCCTCACCCAAGTGATGCCGAAGCCAATCTCAGGGGAAAGCATCGAACGCGTGCCTCCACTTGGCCCACCTGGAGCTCTGGTTCGGCAGAGCCATTGCCCACCTTTGTCCGAGAGGCCCGTCTACAGAGACACACGGACACCCCGTGTACTGCCGCTGTCTCGGAAGGTAACTAACGGGCCGCACTGGACGCCCTGGCCTAGCGTACCTGTGGCTGTCTAGCCACTTCCTGGGATCCTGTCCTCACCTGCACCTTGTGCCAAAGGAGCCACATCCCAGAAGTGTCAAATATTGAAATAGTGCAATTGGCAAGCCAGGGACAACCCTGGGTTATTGCCCTGCAATGGGACATCAACCGAGAAGCATCACCAACGGCAAAGGCAACTTGGTTCAGTGGGGGACAAGCCTGCTTTTCACAATCAGAGGCAAGTCGGGACACTTACTGATACTGAGGGAGACGCTAACACATAAGAGGCTCTGGTATCAAGCTGCCCGCAGGTTAATGTAATTAACCGTAATTTGGAAGTCAGGACTACCAGCTTCTGACTGCAGGTTGTACGCTAGTGGGAAAACCATGAATTGAACTAGCAAAACGATGGTCTAGCTCCCAGCCTGAGGACCACTCATTCACTTTTGCAGCCAGAGAGCTGAACTATGTCGAAGAACTGGCATTTATTTTCCAAATTTTCTTTGAACCGTTCCACTGCTTGTCACCACGGGAAAGTAGACTCCATCCTTTTCCGTGAACCCCAGGCTGGGCAAACCTACAGGGAAACCTGGTGGGAGTCTGAGCGGGACAGCTAGCTGTACTGTCTCTGTGACAGTGATGGGAATTCACGAAATTTTCATTCTTAGCAAAATTGAAGTTTACATTCAACATCCATCATATTGTTAACTACATAACTATCAACCTGAAAGGAACCTAAATTCCTAGCAGGGTACGTAGGAAACATTTTTCCCTTTCTATACTTTCAATATGAGAAACATCCATCCATCTACATTTAGATCGCCTCCCTCGGGTAGTATCTGAGTACACAATGTCACCAACTGATCAAGCCAGCACACACCCTCCTTTGAAAAGTCCTCTCTGTTCTTATTCTAATCACAAAACTTGTCTTTTCCTTCAGACCTGTTAAAAAGTAAATTTGTAAGCCAATAAGCACAGCCAGATATTCAAAAGGAAATGGTCACTGCTAGGGTGGAGGATAGACTTTTCAAAATAAGATGCCCTCTTTAAAGGATGTGCTTCTTTTTTAAAAAATATATTTTTATCGACTTCAGAGAGGAAGAGGGAGAAATACCAATGATGAAAGGATCATGGATTGATTGCCTCCTGCACACCCACCACCGGGGACTGAGCCCAAAACTGGGAATGTAAATAAACATGACCTCCTGGTTCATTGGTCGAGGAGCAACACTGGCTAGGCAAGATGTCCTCTTTAAACAATTGTAGACTACTCCTGAAGATCTTCACTCAATCTTCAGGGAATCCTGAGTCTCCTTTACCCTTTACAACAGAATTCCATTCTTGTAAATAGCCAAAAAATAATCATAGAATAATGTAACAAAAAAAGGCAGAAAAAACATGTTTTTGGGACCAAGAGAAACCATGAAGCCATTGTGCCATAAAGCAGAATGATAGATTGCCAGATTAATTCAGAAACACAACTGTCCAGGAATCCTCTAAATACCCAAAAGGTCATACCTTTTATAGCCAAACAGCTAACCCAAGTAAAGCAAATTTGTCAGCTCAACAGGACATCCAAGTACTTTGTGGACCAATTAAACTCTCCATTTTAGAGCCAGAGTTGGGTGAAATAGTGAGGGCCTGTTTACGTAGGTCAGGGAATCATCTTTTAGAAACCAGGGCATCATTGGAGAAACCAAGGTTAACCTCAACTGGAGGGATGCTCTAAAATAGAACCTCAAGGTTTTGGAATTAATGTAAAGACACATTACAGGCTACTATCCTCTATGCCCCAATTCATTAAGTTCCCCTCCTAAACTAAGCGTATCAATTTGGGGAGAAACTAAACAGCTATTTGCTCCTTTGAAATGTCCTTGTACCAAAGAAGCTTTGAGCCATCCATCTAGCACTTTCCAATATATACTTGCCTAAGGGCCAACCCAAGAACTCCCTTTGCAACTGGGCACAAAGCACACACACTACTCTGTAGCCATTTTCCAGGACCCTAATGTTGCCAGTTTTCTCACAGCCTAACACTATACAAGATTTGCAGGCATAGGGGAATCTCAATAGAAAGAAAGAAGTTACCTTTAGTGACTTTTTATTTTTTAATTCACAAATTGTTATAAAACATGACTTCATGTGACCTATAACCTAGCCGTACCACAATCTCACCAGTACATAAAAACCAGTTTTGGTGAGGTGTAATTTTGTAAAAAACCACAGGCTTCCTTGATGTGTATTAATTAAAGTGACTTCCCCCACCCGTCAGATACTTGCTATATTCCAATTAAGTCCTTTTTCTGTGTGTCTTATACATACCTTTTTGTGTAGCTGTTGCCTGTGCTCTACTTACTGCCTATTTAACATTTTCCCTACTTCCTGTCACTGTGAACACAAATAAGACAAAAACTTGCTTATCATCTAAGTCCAAATGCAAGAAACATTTCTCTACACAAGGAGAATGACCCCAGTCAAAAAACTCTTTATGTTCCTTTATTGGAGCAAGATTCCTGACCAGTATACAGTGATGTATTCACTAAACAGAGACCTGTGCAGAAATTACATACTATCCATCTAGATAGGTTTTATTACACTTTGCCTATTGATGGAATAGTTCCACTTATAAAATGTTTTATACATCAAATAGCTCTGAATTTGACCAGGCTGTCCATTAATTCATCTCTGAAAAAATTAGCTGGCATTTAATTTCAGCTACTATACTTTACAGCATTAAAAAGCTTAGGCATTAGGTAGCTTCTCATAATGTTCTATGCACAATGGCATCTAGCAGACAGTCCATCATCTCGCCCAGATTCACAGACGGGTCTCATTGGAGAACGGTAAGCTAAATAGCTGGTACTTGAGACAAAAGTACGCCTAACCTGAGTTTCTTAACCACCAATACGGACTTCTTACTCTGCAAGCCTGTCTTCTGGGCCACCTTTATAGTGCCAACGAAGACACGCCAGCAATAGCCCCGTGTGTAACTCGGCATTAGAGCACCAGGTCTGTCTGGTGGTGGTGGCAGGCACTGTTATTATATCCAGGTAAATATAGACCCATTTTTTAAAATGCCAATTTGATATACAAAACTAAAGGTACAACATACTCAGAACTAAGTTTGAGCAATCTGGTACTCCAAATGATCTGAAAATTTTCAGAAACTGGTAACAAACTGTACTCATGATGTTTCCCAGCTATGGAGACATTAATACACTGATTCAAACCCCTTTACTCAGTCCACATAGCCCTGAGATCATCCTGCAAAGTGCGTATAAAATATGGAGTTGACAAAGTTTGACAATACGTTATACAAGTCAAACTTGAAATCTGTTCTGAGAGAAAAGCATCAAATCCTTTGTGTACACATTTAGTTTTATTGTAACAAAGCAACTTGTACTCTTTTAACATTTAAAACTGAGCATTATCTTTCCTTTCCAGTGAAACAAAAAGAAAATTTAAAAATAAACAGAACAAAATTACAATAGAAAAATGTCAATTCCAAATAAGATCCTACAGGTTCTGCTGATTCTCCCATCGAGTGGCAGGGCTCAAGTCATCATTAGGAGAGAATTTTATTTTAAAAGTGTCATCTCAGACTGCAAGGATGTCCGTTAAACATCACAATTAAACATGCCAAAGGAGAAGCCATGTTGTCAAAATGCCCACTTAACCCACCCAAACATCTCAAACCCACCCTTTGTTGACCTTCTATAACCCCCCTTTTTTTAAAAATTTTTTTTTCTTTTTTTAAACAAGAGAAAGTAGACAGATACATGTTGGTAAATGCTAACTGTCCATATTCACATAGAGACACAGTGTAATCTCTGAGCCCAATATACAGAGAAAGGAGGAAAAAAGCTAGAATTCTATGCACTACTACACAGGGGCCTAGCCACCTCCAGCTCCCAGCAGAGCTAAGGGAGCAGAAGGTTTTTCTTTTTTCCCACAGAGCACGGTGGTGTTGATTCCATTAAGTTTTTCTTGAGACAGGAAGGGATAAAAATGAATTTGGAACAGAAAGGGGCAAAGATTCTTTTCCCACTGTATTCTGCTCAAGGTACATCCCCCCCAAATAAGGTGAGAACCATGGTGTAAAGGAGAGAAGAGAGACCTCAAAAACAGGGCGACTGAGCACAAGAGGGGGAGAAAAAAGAAAAAGAAAAAAGACTGCAACTTGCTCCCAGGGACTGGAGAAAATTAAAAAAGGTTGGAATCCATCAGTGTTCATTAGTCATCTTCTCCTTCATCTTCCTGTAAGGAGAAAAAGCAGGCAATTAATCTTTAGGGTTAATTCTAAAGTCATTTCCCAACATTCATAGGAACCATGATGAACTCCACAGAACACTATGAAGAATCTAGTTTTATAGACCTATATATCACAACCTATGCTCAAATCTTAGCTGAATGACCCAGTGATTTTATTCCAGATAAATTAATTTTTCAGCACTAACTAAATCACTAGACATCTTTCAGACCAAATAATCCAAAACACAGTCTGACTGTTAAGAATTTTATAGTGAATCTAAAACATGTAAATTTGTTATTTGGGAGATTTCTCCAAATATGACCAGCTGCACTATCCATACCACTTTCATTAAAGTACTGGTTAGGGAAGGACAGGATTGTGTGGTCATAAAACTAACCACAAAAGCAGAACAAGTTAAAAATCACTGATACAATCTCATCAAAATTCCTCCCAATCTTGTACAACAAAATAGCTTATCTCTTCTACAAATCCTCCCATAATTAGTTGAGTCAGTCCCTTTTTACAATATATATAACCTCTAAAATAACATGGCTTCAAAGATTATCTTTCTGGACTTACCTCTCCTTCTTCCCCCTCATCATCATCTTCATCTTCTTCACCTTCATCCTCATCCCCTTCTTCATCAATATCTTCCAACCCTTCCTCTTCTTCATCATCATCATCATCTTCATCTTCATCTTCTCCTTCCCCTTCTTCATCATCCATGTCAGGAACCTTAAAAAACCAAGAGTTATGTTAAGAACTCATTTTCAAACAAATAAGACAAGTGAAACCTTGATAATGGACCACTCAACTCACCAAGTAGTACTGTAATGGATTTGGCCAAATGTCATCTTTGATGACTTCTCCCAACTCATCTGCACCTGCATCAGAATGGTCAGTGAACCAGGTAAAGAAGCTTTCTGGTTCCTCATGCTGTCTCTTCCTGCTGGCTTTATTCTGTGTTTGACTTGAACGTTTCGTCAAATCCTAAATGAAGATGGAAGAACTTTTGATGTAGGCTCTCTACAAAACCTAAGTCCCCCATAATTCAAACAGCAAGATTTTAACACAAAGGAGAACAAAAAATGTACATCAATATATTATCAAACTATTATTCTTATTTATGAGAAATTACAAAATATAAAGAGAAAAGGCCCTAGAATTCTAGGTCTAGAAAGATTGTTGTCAACTTTGTATGACAAGGTTTTCCTGAAAAGGTACCATCATTTAATTTTGGCTTTTTCATAAAATTAGTTCCACTTTAACAACCAGTCCAACATAGTGTTATTTACTAATTAAATGTGGGAATAAATGAATTTTGGGAAATGGCATGCCATTGGAAGAGCTCAATCATAAATTAAGAAACAAACAAAAACTAGCCAATTTCTATAAAAGTTTGCACTGCACAAGTTATGAGAGCTCCAGACTATTGTATTTGACTTTAACACACTGCAGTTTTTTGTTTTGTTTTTTAATCCTCATCCTAGGACATGCTGAGAAGAGAAGAGAGAAGAGGAGAAGAGGAGAAGAGAGCAACCTCTATCCGTGGGAGAAAGTGATCGGTTACCTCCCAGACATGCCTGCTAGGGGGTTGAACCTGCAACTCAGGTATATGCCCTGACCGAGAATCCAACCGGCAACCTTTTGGTGCACAGGCCGAAGTTCAACCAACTGAACCACCCTGGCCAGATTGGAATTTTTCTTGTATTTTAAGGATTTGCATAACACATTACCAAAGCACGAAGTATTGTTAAATGATTCAACTAAACCAAAATATACAAAATATTTTTGCCAAACAATTTCTCAAATACCTTTCCAGATTTCCATTTGATTTCAGTGGACTTTGAAGATGGATCACCACTCTCATTCAGATGAAACTCTTTGCAGCAAACTTTATTTTCGAAGTAAGGATTTTCATCAAAATACTACAAGAAATAGAGGATTAGAAATCAATACAAACAGCTCTTCTAACCAAAGATCAAGTTAAAATATCCATCGTGGCAAACAAGAGTTACTGATACTCACAAAATCTATTCTGTAACCTGATTTAATATCTTCAAATTCTGTCACTTCAACTCTTGTCAAATAATGCAGCGCCTCTTCATCCTCTTCCCCAAGCAGTGCAGACACTAGACCAGCAAATTATAAGCCAAATGAATATTAAACAGCAAGCACTAAGTAACTCAAGTGCTTGTTAAAGGACTTTAAAATTTTTCCTAATTTAGTGAGCATCTTGGTTTCATAAATCCATTAACTGAAAACCAAATGGCTCAGAGTGTCAGAGCTAGCAACATCATTTTATCAATTAAAGACAAATCCTGAGTTAGAATACAGACTCTTCTGAATAGACAGAAAACATTAATTATAAGCCTCCCCTCTCAGTGTTTCAACCTCTATGTGTAACCAACATGTTGGACCAAGTCCTCAACCAAGGTTCCTCTACTCCTTAACAAGTGGACATCCTACTTTAGTAATGCTGCTGATAACATACCTTGTGGATGGTTGACAAATGTTGTTACCCAAAAATTTGGGATTTTGGCGATCAATTCTGACCTCTTCTGAAAAAATGGTTGGCGGAGTTTGTTATATTTCTGTTCTACTTTCAAAATCTCCTCACTGGCTTGTTCATTAAGTCTGAAGCAAATGAAAAGACATGTTGACAATGATGGTACTTGACAAATACAGAAATTGCTGAGACTACAGAATATATACTCTTGTTAGCTTTAGAAAAGGGCAAAGTACACATTTATAATAAACCGAATCATCTAGATTTTTGTACCCATATTAAATTCAAGTCAAAACTAAGTTGGCAATTTGATCTGGGTTAGGCACTCAATAATGGGCAGTTCTTTAACTAGGTGCCCAAACTGAGCATTTTGGTAACGCTGTACATTTACTTCAATTACTACCAGGCTAACTTCAATTCGGTGTCCCTCAGGCAGATCAAGGGGGGAAAGACTGCTAATCAAGTCAGAACAACACTGATGCCAGAAAGCTAAACTGTCAGAAGTCCATGCACTGCAATTCAGACAACTCGCAGCCTTTGAAAGGAGATGCAATCTTTACAAAGTCAATGTACTTTCATCGAAAGCTTTTTGGTGACTACAATATTTCACAGAAAAATAACACTGACTTCATGTTTTCACTATCATAACCATCTCCACTTAGCCAGTGGATAGAGATTTGACTACAGTTTCAAATATCACCATAAGATGTGTTTCAGAAAACGTCTAGAAATTAAGAAAAACCTTACCTGTCTATTTCATTTTGTACTTCATCAATATGTTCAATTGCTTCTTGCTGTTCTTTTTCTGCAAGAAAAAGATGCATAAAACTCAATATTAATTAGAAGCATTTATATTTATCTACCTTTCCTGATGAACAGTCTCTTGAGTTATATCAATAAAGCTGTAAAAAAACAAAAACCCAACACACACACAAAAAACTGCCTACAAGGCATGCCCTCCACGTGTTCATGCAGGTAGCTGACAAATTCAAAGACAATTCACAAATCATGCTATCTGTTAGGTATTCAAAATGCTTGTAGCACTTTTTAGGAGTTACATTACAAAGAGACTAATCGTTAAAGTTTCTATTAAGAAAGGCAAGGAATACACCTTATTCAGGAATCCCTAAGTGTTTATTATTCATCACATTATATACCTGCAATAGACTAACACCAGCTGCTAAGTAAACTATGGAAAGCAACCCATGACATTAACAAAAACCAGGACCCCGCGCATCCATCCAACGGTAGCATCGCTCTGAATAGGAAGCCGAAAATACCGCTCAGTCCCTACAACTGCAACACAGACAGGGCCCTGCACACGGGCCATCGCACACCCCCCACTTTCCCTCTTTAGAAGGCGAACCCCGAGACTCGTGTCTGACCTTCCTCACCCCTCCTGCCCCATTCCAGACGGGCTGATCTCAAGAGGGCCCAACACTTACAGGGAGTCAAGCATGAAGTCAGAAAACTGGGAGCCCCAGAAGGAGAAGAAAAGGAGGCGCGCTGCGGGAAAGCTGCCCTTTTGTCGGGCAGAGACGGCAAAACCTATAAACTAAGTGGGCGTGAAGGGCCCCGAGTGCGCGCGGCTCGTTTCCGGCCACCATCCCGGGTCCGCAGCCCCCCGCCGAGAAGCCCTTCCCGGAGAAGGCGGGAGGCTTTGCAGGAGCCATGGCAGAAACC